GTCTGTCACAATTTGAGCACTATTAGACTGAGTCTTTTATAGTAATATTCTGTTGATGTAGTCCCAAAGTTGCAAATTAATGATAGACGTCTTCCATCCTGGATCCATCTCAGTGTTGATCTCCTTGATTGGTGTTAACAAACAAAAGGCTTGTGTTGACTTCCTTCTTAACATGAGGAGTGTTGCAAACATTTCTGTTATCATGTTCCCAGTTCTTATCACAGCTTACTTTTGTTAGCAGGTTTTGATCACAGTTCCAGCAAGCAGGTAGTTAGTCATTGCAGGCCTTAATATTATACTGGTGATTCCAAAATCATTCACTCCATCCATACAGCTTTCATTCTTCAATTCATTCCCACACGTAATTATTAAATTCACATTTATCAAATTTGCACATTGAATTTCTTGTGACAAACAATATTCCTGCTTCTTGGCAGGGGGTTGGACTGGATGACCCACGAGGTCTCTTCCAACTCTTTGATTCTATGATTCTATGATTCTATGAAACATGCCCAGCTCTTTAAGCCACTCCTCATAGGACTTGTTCTCCAGACCCTTGATCATTTTAGTCACCCACCTCTGGGCACATTCCAGCTTGTCAACATCTCCCTTCAATTGTGGTGCCCATAATTGGACACAGTGTGATTCCAGGTAAAGTGGTCTGACCAAGGCAAAATAGAGGGGTAACATGACTTCCCTGGATCTAGATGTGGCTCCAAATCTCTGGGTAGCCATGAGAACAAAAATCTGGTCAGCGAAACTCCTTCCTCTGTATTTATTTTATTTATTTTTCTTCCACTCCTTTCCGCAGACCTGACCAGCCCTGCCACTTTTGGTAGTAATGTTGGAGAGTGCTCCCTGATCAAAGTGGTCCCTGGTCAAGTCCTCCCTGGTTACTCTGGCTCAATATCTTGGCTGCAAGTGTGAGGTTGTGGGAGTGGCCTGTAGCTCTCTACTTAACCAGTACCTACACCAGTTATATGTTGCCAGACAGTGTTCAACCCCACTGAGGAGACGTAAATAAGATTCCAGATGCTTTAATCCAGGTAAATCTTGTAAAACGTCATACAACAATAGGTGAAAAATGATCAATTCTCTGGAGCTGAGTATCCATGTTTCTTTCAGAATCACAAGTATAGCTTACTTACTTACTTACTTAGGCAATCCCTCGTTTTCCGAGGAGGATTATCTTCCAATATTTTTGTGGGTCCGTATGTGGCTGTGGAGCCCTATTCTTGCTCTGTATCTTCTTCTGCAGTGAGGGTATTGGTTTCCAGGTGGAAGGCGGTCTCGGTCGGGGTTGGCTTGACGCGCCTTCCTCTTGGCACGTTTCTCCCTGTCGTGCAGTGAAGATCATGTCCACGGTTCCTCTGGAGGGGCGGAAGCCATTCTGGGATTCTGGGAGGGTGTCTTCTGAGAGGGGCAGAAGGCGGTTTGCAAGGATTCTTGCGAGGATTTTCCCAGCTGAGGTTAGAAGGGAGATACCTCGATAGTTTCCGCAGTCTGTTCTTTCCTCTTTTTTGAAGAGGGTGATGATGGTGGCATTCTTGAAATCTGCTGGGATTTTCTCGGTCACCCACACTTTTTCTGAGTTGGTGGAGTTGTTGTGTCAGCTCAGGTCCTCCCTCTTTAAAGATTTCAGCAGGGATCCCACCAGGTCCGCTGGCTTTGTTATTTTTTTGTTGGCTGATGGCATTGCTGACTTCTTCCAAACTAGGTAGTGCTGCAAGCTCATCCCTGGTTTGTTGTTGCGGGATTTGTGAGAGAACCCCTTCGGCCACATTAGAGCTGCGGTTCAGGAGGCTTTGGTAGTGTCCTTTCCAACGTAGTGCAATTGATTTTTGGTCCTTCAGGAGTTTGGTTCCATCTGATGAGCGGAGAGGCAGTATGCCATGGTTTCTTGGTCCATAGATGACCTTTGTGGCTTTGAAAAATCCCTGAGCATCATGGGTATCTGCCAGGTGTTGGATTTCTTCAGCCTTCTTTGTCCACCAGATGTTCTTGAGTTCTCTTGTCCTTCTTTGGACCTCAGCTTTTGTGCTGGCGTAGATCTTTTTCTTAGCAGCACAGTTGATGTCTCTCTACCATGTTTGGAAGGCTTTCCTTTTCTTGTCAATTAGCTGTTGGATCTCAATGTCATTTTGTCAAACCAATCTTGATGTTTCTTGGTTTGATATCCAATAGTTTCTTCGCAGGCTGTGATGATGGAGGTCTTCAGTTTGTTCCAGTGTTCCTCAACATTTTCGAGGTGTTCTGTGGGTAGATGGTTCTTGAGTGCTGTTTGGAGATGGGCTTGTCTGGAGGGCTCCTGAAGGGCTTGGGTGTTCATTTTGCACCTTGTCTTTCTTCCTTGGAGTCTGCGCTTGGGGGCAATCTTGAGAGCCATCGGATCGGATTAGCCTGTGGTCAGTCTAGCAGTCGTCAGCACCTGTCATGGCTCTTGTGAGGAGCACGTCACGGCGGTCTCTGGCACGTGTGATTACATAGTCTAAGAGGTGCCAATGCTTTGACCGGGGGTGCTTCCATGATGTCTTGAACTTGTTTTTCTGGCGGAAGAGTGTGTTGGGGATGACAAGGTTGTGTTCCACACATTTGGTGAGAAGCAGGATGCCGTTTGAGTTCCTGTTTCCAACCCTGTCTTTTCCTATGGTCCCTGGCCACAGGTCGAAGTCTCGCCCGACTCTTGCATTGAAGTCCCCCAGGAGGATGATTTTGTCCTCCTTAGGTATCCCCGATAGGATGGTGTCCAGCTGACAGTAGAATTTCTCCTTGATGTCTTCATCAGCATCTAGTGTTGGTGCATAGGCACTTATGATGGTTGCCTGTTGGTTTTTGGCAAGATCAATTCGGAGGGTTGAGAGTCGTTCATTGATGCCAGTGGGTGCTTCGGTCAGATGTTTCACCAGATCATTCCTGATAGCAAAGCCAACTCCGTGCATTCTTTGGTCTTCTTCGGGCAGTCCCTTCCAGAAGAAGGTGTAGCCTCCTTTTTCTTCCTTCAGCTGTCCCTCTCCTGCTCTCCGGGTCTCCTGAAGGGCTGCTATGTCGATGTTGAAGCGTCCCAGCTCCCTTGCAATGATGGCAGTTCTGCGTTCGGGGCGTTCACTGTCACTGTTGTCCATCAGAGTCCGTACGTTCCACGTACCGAAGTTCATTTTTCTTTTTTGGCCGCAGGGTGGTGACCCCACTGGACGCGGCAGTCCAGTCAGGGATAAGAGAGGCAGACTATGTTTAGGGCACCTTTTCTAGCCCCCTCCCCATGTGGGGTGAGCAGAATGGGTCCTCAAAAGGGCTGCTCAGTCGCGGATACACTGCTGAACTACTCAACTGCCTCGGACCTTGAGGTAGAACGACTGAGTCCGTACCCACCGCCCATGTGCCAGTCTGTGACTAGGGGCTTCCAGATTTCACAGTCCTGCCCCCGTCGCCACTCACTGATTGCCATGGGACTTTGGTTGGTTTGTTTTTATTTTCTTTGGAAGATGCCAGTGCATGAGTTTTTTTAATGTGTGGAGGTCAGTGCACAGCTGATCAACACACAGTCTTCACAGAGTGAGGTTCCACTGGTGGTGTAGTTTAACACATTGACCGCGGCTTCTCAATCTGATGCAGCCTTCTTCCGCCTTCACAGCCATTGTAACATGTACCATGTTATCCTCCGCCTGCTCTGCCGTTGAGGTCTTTGGGTCTTCGGACTGTGCTTGGTCTGGAACCTCCCCCTGCGGCTACTCCTGGGAGTGCACGACTCCAGTTGTTGTGCCTACAGGTTCATCTGAACACGCAAGCCCCCTCACCACGACAAGGTGACAGTCCATCGAGGGGGCTCAAGTATAGCACTAAGAGAGAGAGGGAGGAGCAACAAGCATGGCACTGAGAGAGAAGGGAGGAGCTATTACATCACATCTAGTGTTGCGGAATATACGTTACCCGAGATCATTTAGAGTACAATCAGGAAGGAAAAGAACGGAGACAGCAGTCGATTTCAGGCTTTACTATCAAGCAAGATAGGGTGTACAGATCACAATGTCTGCCACAAGTTGGAAGTCAGACTTGCTTCAGTATTTATAGCATAAAGTCACTGATTTACACATGCGCAGAAATGACCTGACATTTACACAGTACAATCATTAACAGTTGTTCTTCATGTACAGTTGACAAGGACACTCTTTTGGCAAGGCCATTATGACCCCAAACATTTGCCCACTTTATATAACTATTAACCTTTTACCCCTTATTTCCAGATGCCATGTTCAATTGGTCTTAATTTCCTTGATCTCTTAATGATTTATAGTTTTATATATTTATAACATAAGATTTGATCAAGGCAATCTCCTTTTAGCTAAATTCAGCCTCAATTATTTAGTTGTTAATATGAAAACCAAAGAAACTTGTTTAAAATAAAAAAAATCTGAAATTGCCTGCTATTTACATTAAATAGTCAGGAGATGGCGCTCTCTCACTATATGACCTTAGATGTTCCAGTCTCGGATCAATATTTATTGATCTATGTGTTTGCCAGTTCTCTGGTTTCTTTATTCAGCTTAGAGTAAGCATTCGTCTTGTGTAAACATGTCTTTTTGAACAGTTATCTTGACCTCAATATCGATTTATACCATCTGTTGATTCTTTCCCTTACTCTGCAAAATCTCCTCTGAACAGGCTGAATTTAGGTAAGACCATCTGTTCATTTTAAATTATGATTATTATTTTATTTTTCTCCTAACGGCTGCCACACTAGGAATACAGAAAGCCAAGAGGGTCAAACTATCAAGGAAAACACAGTATTGCAGATGCCTGGGGCATAGCATTCCCCACCTGAAATCTTTAGATTTCACTAAAACAAACATTAAAATATTGTCCTTCAGATGTCCATAAAGTCTTTTCAAACCTGAAACAAGGGGGAACATGTGTAATAAACACTAGTCAACAATTAATCCAAACTTGCAACGAAAGTTCTGAAGTTGTTGGCCACAAGTTCTCACTTAGGATCTAAATAAACCAATCTTCGGGCAGGGAAACCGTAATTTTGCCAACACTTGCACCTATCCACATGGTAATCCACGAGAATATGTCAGAAGATTGACACAGTTTTAGTTCATGGAGGTATGCTCCCCGCCATGAGATGTGGTGTCCTCTTACTTGTTGTTGTTCATTCGTTCAGTTGTCTCCGACTCTTCGTGACCTCATGGACCAGTCCACGCCAGAGCTCCCTGTCGGCCGTCACCACCCCCAGCTCCTTCAAGGTCAGTCCAGTCACTTCAAGGATGCCATCCATCCATCTTGCCCTTGGTCGGCCCCTCTTCCTTTTACCTTCTACTTTCCCCAGCATATTTGTCTTCTCTAGGCTTTGCTGTCTCCTCATGATGTGGCCAAAGTACTTCAACTTTGTCTCTAGTATCCTTCCCTCCAATGAGCAGTCGGGCTTTATTTCCTGGAGGATGGACTGGTTGATCTTCTCGCAGTCCAAGGCACTCTCAGAACTTTCCTCCAACACCACAGTTGCATCCATCTTCCTTCGCTCAGCCTTCCCTAAGGTCCAGCTCTCACATCCGTAGGTTACTACAGGGAATACCATGGCTTTGATTATGCGGATCTTTTACTTATGAGGCGACTTTTTGATGATGGGCAGGAGCTGCAAGTCCAAAGACATTCCTAGGAAGGACTCTGCATGAAAAGCCTATGTTTCTCTAGCTCTCCTTCAGCTGCTGAAAATCTCCCTGAACAGAGGACAAGGAAGGAAAAGGGAGGAAAAGGGGAAGTGGACAAAGGTCAAAGAGGTTAGCGGGGGGGCGGGGGCATCGTGGATGGAGCTGCACTTGTCTTTGCACCTGAGAGAGTGAATGGCCCCTTGAAGGGAGCTGTGTTCAGCAGAGGCTTGTTTTGAGAACATCCCAGCAAGTCACAATATGGTTTTGAATTAGACATTTGAGGAGAAAGGGTCATGGCTGACTGTAGGATTCCTTTGGAAAAAGACAGGAATTTTGGTGGCAGCAGGTGTCTAATTTGGAATTCTCAGGAAGCAGGCCTGGGACCCATTGTGCAAAAGGGGGCAGCCCAGTATTCTTTGTGTCCTTCAGCATTTAGCACATCCTGATAATTCAGGGAAGCCCATTATCCAGTGAGTGAGAGCCGTTCAGCAGTGGAACTCTCTGCCTCAGAGTGTGGTGGAGGCTCCTTCTTTGGAAGCTTTTAAACAGAGGCTGGATGGCCATCTGTCAGGGGTGATTTGAATGCAATATTTCTGCTTCTTGGCAGAATGGGGTTGGACTGGATGGCCCATGAGGTCTCTTCCAACTCTTTGATTCTATGATTCTATGAGTGATGCCCTTTAATATTGGAAAGCACAATTTCTTTCTGCCTGTCTGCCTTCACTGCTTTAGTGTTCGACCAAGGAAATCAAAGTGATGCTCCAGTTCCCTTTCCTTCCATAATTCATTCGTTACTTCTTCCCTCCCCCGTTTCTTCTTTTTTTCTAAATTCGTCCCCTTCTTGTTTGAGAATCTGTGGTTGCATTTGCTGGCATCTGTGTATGTGCTTGAGACTGCATTACTTGGTATTCCCATTTTCAACATGACCCTTCAAGGGAAAGAGGGGGCAGCTTGCAGGTAAAGAACATTTATGACTTTCACCTTTGTTCTTTTGCTTCTTTTTCTTAACCAGGAAAATGAGGATTCTATGGAGCCATCTCATGAGGAAATCAATAATATAGGAAGTAGAACTCCTCTCAAGGTGATGATTTTTCTGAAATCTTGGCCTCACTGACAGATAAGAAAGGAAAAAAAGAAGAGCCAAGTATCTTTACTGTAATTCAACATGGAGGAGAAATTCAACATGGAGGAGAAAGCACATAAATACCTGGAGTGTGGACAGAGCTTCACTCGGAGTTCAAGTCTACATTCACATCAAAAGACTCACACTGGGGAGAAACCCTATACATGTCTAGAATGTGGAAAGAGCTTCACTAATAGTTCGGGTCTACATAGGCATCAAAGGACTCATACTGGGGAGAAACCTTACACATGCCTGGAGTGTGGACAGAGCTTCACTCTGAGTTCAAATCTACGTTCACATCAAAGGATTCACACGGGGGAGAAACCCTATACCTGCCTAGAATGTGGAAAGAGCTTCACTCGGAGTTCGGATCTACGTTCACATCAAAGGACTCACACTGGGGAGAAACCGTATACCTGCCTAGAATGCAGAAAGAGCTTTACTAAGCGTTCAGATCTACGTTCACATGAAAGGACTCACACTGGGGAGAAACCGTATACATGCCAGGAGTGTGGAAAGAGCTTCACTCAGAGTGCACACTTAGGTTTGCATCAAAGGACTCACACTGGGGAGAAACCATATAAATGCTTGGAGTGTGGACAGAGCTTCATTCATAGTTCAGGTTTACGTTCGCATCAAAGGATTCACATTGGGGAAAAACCCTTTACATGCCTGGAGTGCGGACAGAGCTTCACTCGAAGTTCAGACCTACGTTCACATCAAAGGACTCATACTGGAGAGAAACCTTATAAATGCATGGAGTGTGGACAGAGCTTCTCTCGTAATGGAAACCTACATATACATCAAAGGATTCACACAGGAGAGAAACCCTACACATGCCTAGAATGTGGGAAGAGCTTCACTCGGAATGCAGATCTACGTTCACATCAAAGGACTCACACTGGGGAGAAACCCTATAAATGCTTGGAGTGTGGAAAGAGCTTTACTGTGAATGAAAGTCTACGTTCGCATCAAAGGACTCACACTGGGGAGAAACCCTATAAATGCTTGGAGTGTGGACAGAGCTTCACTCATAGTTCAGGTTTACGTTCACATCGAAGGATTCACACTGGGGAAAAACCCTATACATGCCTGGAGTGTGGACGGAGCTTCACTCGAAGTTCAGATCTACGTTCACATCAAAGGACTCACACTGGGGAGAAACCCTATAAATGCTTTGAGTGTGGAAAGAGCTTCACTGACAGTGGACATCTACGTTCTCATCAAAGGACTCACACTGGGGAGAAACCCTATAAATGCTTGGAGTGTGGACAGTGCTTCACTGTGAATGGAAGTCTACGTTCGCATCAAAGGACTCACACTGGGGAGAAACCCTATACATGTCTGGAGTGTGGACAGAACTTCATGTATAATTCAGGTCTGCGTTCACATCAAAGGACTCACACTGGGGAGAAACCCTATAAATGCTTGGAGTGTTTAAAGAGTTTCACTCATAATGGAAGTCTACATTCATATCAAAGGACTCACACTGAAGAGAAACCGTATACATGCCTGGAGTGTGGACAGAGCTTCACTCATAATGGAAGTCTACTTTTTCATTAAAGGACTCACACTGGAGAGAAACCCTATAAATACTTGGATTTGACAGAGATTCACTCATAATTCAGATCTACATTCTCATTTAAGGACTCACACTGGGAAGAAACCCTATAAATGGAGTGTGGACAGACCTTCAGTCAGAGTTGAAGTCTATGATCACATGAAAAGAATCACACCAGGGAGAAACCCTATACATGTTTGGAATGTGGAAAGATTTTTGCTCATTGTACACAATTATATTCACTTTAATGGACTCTCACTGGGGAGAAACCCTATAAATGCCTGGAGTGTGGACAGTGCTTCAAGCAAGAGTTCAGGTCTTTTTTGCACAAAAGAACTCACACTGTGGAGAAACACAATCATGCCTGGAGTATGGACAGAGCTTCACTCATAATTCAGGTCTACATTCGCATCAAAGGACTCACACTAAGGATTAACCCTATACATTCTAGGAGTCTGGATGGCACTTCACCGAGAGTAGAAATCTACGTTTGCATGAAAGGACTCACACAAAGGATTAACCCTATACATGTCTGGAGTGTGGACAGAACTTCACTGATAATGGATGTCTACGTAGACATTAAAGGACTCCCATTGATGAGAAACCTTATATATGCACATATTGTGGACAGAGTTTCACTGAGAGTAGAAATCTACATTTGCATTAAAGGACTCACACTGGGAGTAACTATTCCCAGAATTCACACTGAGAGAGAATAGTGGTATTTGATCCCGGAGAGACTCTCTAAGACAGCTGTTAAACTAGCAAACCAGAAGTTAAACCATATTCTTACAAGATTTTCAATTAATCTAATAGAATAAATATATTCCATATAATTTTTATTGTATAAACAATTTTTGTGTACCTTTGGAAACTACACATGTGGTTGATCACACTCTCCAGACAATGTGAGAGTCTCCGAAGAGCAGATGCTGAGGATGAGAGAAGCCCTTGGCCTCAAGGTCAATGTATTCAGAAGCCTTCCCATACTTGTTCCCTCCTGTCCCATTGATCCTGAGAGTACTCTAATGTGTCATCGCGACCAGGGCAAATTGCATTTTAGTCACACTGCCTGGTCCAAACTAAGCTTGGTACCTGATACTTCTCACATATCCAAGGGTTGACGGCATGAGTTCAACCTAACCCTCCACCTACTCTCCAGAGAGGAAGGGACGATTCTGCACCCAGACATTCAGGCTCTCCACCTGTGAGCCTGGAAAATCCAGCTTTAACACAGCTTCTCTCAGCCCTGCAATCAATACTGGAAGCAGCCCATAAGCCTACAAATCTGATTCCTGCAAGTTGTCTCGATTCCGAGAGTTCCTTCGACCCCAAGACATCAATCTGCACTCAGCCTCAATCCACCAAGTCCTTGAGTTCCTGCTCATACATACATAATGGAACCTTGTTCTCTCATCAATAAACCCTATGCATGCCTGGAGTGTGGACAGAGCTTCACTGCGAATGGAAGTCTACGTTCGCATCAAAGGACTCACACTGGGGAGAAACCCTATAAATGCTTGGAGTGTGGACAGAGCTTCACTGTGAATGGAAGTCTACGTTTGTAGTATTGTGTGTTTTATGTGTGCATTGAATGTTTGACATTGTTATGTTGTAATCCGTCCTGAGTCCCCTCACGGAGATAGGGCGGAATACAAATGAAGTTTTATTGTTATTGTTATTATTATCAACACACACATCTTTGAACCTTGGTTGACTTTTAAAAATTAATTCAGATATTTTCTGTGTCGTGAATAACTTTTCAATAACTTTAAAGCATATGTTCTTTGATTGCAATTTCCAGTGCAAGGAAGTATATCAACTATTACAGAACTTTTACCCTTTTACACAAAGGATGACATTAGACATACAGACATAAGATTCTATGCAACTACATTGAATTCGTAATTGCATGGCTAACAAAGAAAGGGGAATTACATTTATATCTGTGGTCATTCCACAGATATATAAACCCATTTTTCCTACTTCCAACAGACCTCACTACCTCTGAGGATGCTTGCCATAGATGCAGGCGAAACGTCAGAAGAAAAATTGCCTCCAGAACATAGCCATATAGCCCGGAAAAACCTACAACAACTCTGTATTTTTAATTTTGGGCAGTAACCCCGCCCACTATTCCCCGGGGCAGAAAAGGCACCTTGGCCCGGTTCTCCCCAGTTCCTGAGCCGCAGTAGCAGCTAGAAAGGGGGAGGTTTGATGTTGTGGGGTTGACCGGTGGGATTGTGTGAATTCACAGAGAACCACTCAAAGAAATACAGTTACAAGTAAGTACCCTGTCCTTCTTTGAAGTCTTTGTGAATGCACACTTGTGGAGACTAGCCAGCTGTGGCAACTGCTGGCAGAATAGATAATCAAACCGACACCAGTATACAAACTAAACATATTACGTTTATTTCACATTAGCAACAGGAGCCATATTGAGTATCTTGAAGCGCAACTTCATAGTAAACACCAGACTGTTGTGAACAGCTATGAATAGTAATTAAAAAAACAAACTGTTTACACATTAACTCTTCCTGGCAGTGCAGAAGGTCAGCAAGCATTTGATCGTTGTACAGAAAAACAACCATTACGAGGTCCGGTCCTGAGGCCGACAGTAAGTGAAATAATACAGGTGCCTTCAAGGAAGGTATGCTGGATTGTTGCACACAAGAATTCATGTAAATACATTTTGAACTTTGCCACTTTTTAAAACTTTTTACATAATTAAACATCATGACATTGATAACCGTGAGTTTGTCTCTGAGTGTCCTTTCATCGGGAAGGAATAGCCTATGAGCCCGGTACCGTTGAGGGCTGGGTTCCTGAAATGCTAGAGGCCGAACTGACCAGCCAAAGGCTGTGTCCTGACAGGATCTCACATCTAGTCTATAGTGTGAGACAAATGTCATTGGGTTGGCCCAAATGACTGCCCTACAGATAGCGTCCAGTTGGATTCTGTGAAGGAAGGCTGTGGATGCAGCTCCCCCCCCCATCACTTGAGGTCGGATCAAAGAGGGTGGAGAGCGGTGTGCTGAGGGACTTTGGTGCAGCTGGCTGGGTATCAGCTGCATTAAAATCACTACTGACCGAAAGGTCATGAGTTCGATGTCAGCCTGGGTTGGAGTGAGCTTCTGACCAATTGTGTAGCTTGTTGTCGACCTTTGCAACCCGAAAGACAGTTGCATCTCTCAAGTAGGAAATGTAGGTACCACCTATGTGTGGGGAGGGCTAATTTAACAAATTTACGAGGCCATAAAAATCTCCAGCAAAAGCATGCGGGGAATGCGGAAAGTACTTCATCAGTGTCGCAGATGGACAGTGAAGCGACAGCTCCCCTGGTGGCCAGAAAATTGGAATGTTAAATAGCCTCTGACTGTCTGTCTATATGTGTTGTGTGTCTATGGCATTGAATGTTTGCCATGTATGTATACATTGTAATCTGCCCTGAGTCTCCTCCAGGGTGAGAAGGGTGGAAGATAAATACTGTAAATAAATAAATACATAAATACAAGAGTGTGGCACATGTGCAAGGGCTACACAGTTGATTTGGAAACCAATGGGATTATTCCAGTCCATGGCTAACTTGCAGGCTTGTAGGTTTAAGGTTTCAACCTGCCCTATCTCCCTGAGGGGACTCGTGACTTACTCATGAATTGGTTAACCCACCACCACCACCACCACCACCAGGCTACAGGCCTGTTAATCCTTTTAGAACATGGAAACAGATTGCAATGGACTTCATTGTGGATTTGCCTGATAGCAAAGGGTTCACCACTATTTTGACTATCATAGACTTGTTCTCTAAACAGGCTCACTTTGTGCTGCTGAAACAGATCCCGAGTGCACCGCAACTGGCGAAGCTGTTAATACAACATGTCTATCGCTTTCTTCCTCTTCCCTTGAGAAAGAAGCCACAAAGTGACCAGACTGCTCCCTTGTAGATCTGCCACTCTCCAAATACACCATCTCTCTCCTTCCCATGGAGCAGAGCATGGCGGGTGAACAGCGTCTCTGTCTGTCACAATTTGAGCATTATTAGACTGAGTCTTTTATAGTAATATTCTGTTGATGTAGTCCCAAAGTTGTAAATTAATGATAGACGTCTTCCATCCTGGATCCATCTCAGTGTTGATCTTCTTGATTGGTGTTAACAAACACAAGGCTTGTGTTGACTTCCTTCTTAACATAAGGAAGGTTGCAAACATTTTCTGTACAGGAGTTGATTATAAATTGTATGATTTTAACTGTATTTGTGTTTAGATTGGCTGCAGTAATGCTGGAGCGGCCTAAGTCAGAGGAGTCCTCCATGTGCGTTGCCATGGAGACCGATGCAGGAGAGAGGGAAGTGGGGAGGAGCTTAGAGGGGAGAGTTTGAAAAAACAACAGTTAAAAATCAGTTAGGGTTTAGGTTTAGAGGAGTGAGCAGTCCGGGTTTAGGTTCAGGGGAGTCAGGAGTTAGGTTCAGAGGAGTGAGGAGTTAGGAGTTGGGGGAGAAGGAAAGGAAAGGTGGCGGAGTGACTTGTGAAGCAAAGCTTTGAGGCTTTGAAAAGCTGGGTTTGGCTATTGGAAGTTTCTCAGGCTAGTGCAGCCGAATGGTGAAACCTAGCTGGTATTCTTTTAGTCTAAGGAGAGGCTAAAGAATAGTTTACTTAGTATTTGATCTAGGGAGGATCAACTAAGGGAAACATCCCTGTATGGAAACTTTGTCTGAAACAAGTGCTCTACGTCAGAAAGATACTGTGTTACTTGAAAGAATGAACTGTTAAAGTTACAAGTATTATTCCAAGTGCAACAAGGAAAAGTTACATCTTGCAACCACACGCTGTGTACTTAATAAAATTGTTAACTTTTATTTGAAGATTGCCTCAGCTCCGTCTATTCTGTGTCCAAAGTGCCATTTCTCACAATATTACAACTTACCTCACGTGGTGGCAGAAACGCAGGGAAAAGTAACCAAATAAATCTACATTCTTCTCTCCAGTCACGCTACAGTATATACAGTGTAATTACTACTAAGTTATTACTTGGTTAATAAAGGAGGAGGTGCAATTGAACAGCCTCTTTTCCAACTTGATGGTAAATTTGGTTCCTAATTGGCAACCTCCATTGCAAATTGGCTAGTTCTTTTTAAAATTGTAAAACTGGGGTAAAATTTTCTGAATACTGGTTCCTTTCAAATTGGTGGCAACAATAAATCATCCCTCCGCTCCCCTGCTTCTTTTCAATTTCCTTTATCACGGTCCCGTTCTTATGAGAGTTTACTCTTCAGATCTCATTAACAGGTTTTAATCACAAAGCAGCAAGCATGTAGTTAGTCATTGCAGGCCTTAATATTATACTGGTGTTTCCAAAATTATTAACTCCATCCATACATACTTCCATTAATTCACACACATTCTTATTAAATTCACATTTATCAAATTTGCATTTCTTATTACACAAATATGAACACAGATGGGGTTTGGGGGAAATAGACCTTGATATCTGGGAGTTGTAGTTGCTGGGATTTATAGTTCACCTACAATCAAAGAGAATTCTGAACCACACCAACAACAGAATTGGGGCAAACTTCCCACACAGAACCCCCCATGAACAACAGAAAATACTTAAGGCCATCCAGTCCACCTCCCTTTACCAGGGCAAGAAAACATAATCCAAGCCCTCTTGACAAAGAGTCATCCAGCCATAGATATAGATAGATGTGATTCACACAGAGATATAGTATCATAGATTTGAAAGGGACCCCTAAAGAAGGACAGTTATATGTTGCATGTTCCA